CTTGTCCTGATGGAGGACAGCATCCCCTCAGCAGAAGTACGACTGGTGGGGGAAGCCAGGCGGGCTCTAGGATGTGGAAAATAAGGCTTGGAGAGCCCTGGCTGGCATGGCTCAGTGGTTAGAGGGTAAGTCTGTGCACCAAAGGGTTGTGGGTTCGATTCCCATCAATTCCTGCCCCTGGTCAGGGCATGTGTGAGAGGCAACAGATGGATGTGTCTTTCTCATATCGATGTCTCTCTCCCCTCTCTCTCTCTTCCCTCACTTCCACTCTCTCTAAACATCAATAGAGCCCTAGCCGGTTTGGCTCAGTGGATAGAGTGTCAGCCTGTGGACTGAAGGGTCCCGGGTTTGATTCTGGTCAGGGCACATGCCCAGATTGCAGGCTCCATCCCCAGTGGGGGGCGTGCAATCAATGGTTCTCTCTTATCATTGATGTTTCTATCGCTTTCTCCCTCTCCCTTCCTCTCTGAAATCAATAAAAATAAATGGAAAAAATATCCTACTCCACCCCCACCCCCCAAAGGCCTGGAAAAGTGAAACAGGTGTCACTGTCCTTGTTATTTCACCAGCTCACTTGTGTGTCATGGTGTGTGTGACGGTGTGTGTGATGGCATGTATGTCTCTGTGTGTCTGTTTGTATCCATGCATCTGTACACGTCTCTGAGGATGGGCCTTTGTGTGTGTGTCTGAGTGTGACCAAGTATACGCTCAGGGCTGTGCGTCTGTGCGTTGTGTGGGCCTCTGTGTGTGTGGAGCATGTGTCTACTTGTGTACATACGTGGTGGAGGACAGGTCCGGAGGGACTTGTTTCCTCCAAAGGCTTAGGAGAGCGGCCCGCACAGGTTTATAATCATCGTTCCTTTAAAATGGGATGCCTTTCATTCACCCTCCATGGAACCAACTCCTTCCAGCTCTGTTGGGCTCAAATCCACCCCATTCATTCACTCATTCATTCATTCAACAAAAATACGGTCTCTCCCCTTCATGGACCCTGCCAAGCTTCCTCCCAACCACAAAGCCTGCCTCTTCTCTGAATAATAATGACCACAGGAACCCTTGTTTATCAAACACCAACCAAGTCATTACAGGTCAAGCTCCTGCTAGAACTTCTCGTCCATCCCTCACTCAGTCCCCAGGACAACCTGTGAGAAGGCTAATGGCGTACACACCACAGGGGAAGAACGAGAAAATTTGTCCGGCTTTTGCAACTTCTCCAAGTTCACACAGCCAATCAGTGGGTAAACAAGGGTGGAAACAGCTCTGACTCCAAACGTGTGCTCTAGGCTCCCAGCTACTGGTCTCTGAGTGGTCCTGGCCCCCCACCCATAACCTGTCCACTGCCTGGTGTGGAGTTGACCCACACGGGGTAGGGCCTGGGGCTCAGGCCTCTTGGTGGTCCTTTAAGGCCCGCCCAGTGCTGTGCACATGTGTAGTCTGCCCTGCACCCACCCGGAGAAGCTGCGAGTCAGACCCGAGTGCGTACATTTGAGGGCAGAGCTGCCTCCCAGCTGCTCTTGGCTGGGACGGGGCGATGGGGAAACCGTGAGACTTGTTTTGAAAGTCTAGTTGGAGACTGCATCAGAGAAAGATACAGGGGGAGGCAAGGCAAAAATGCAAGCAAGCCTACAATGTTTCAATCTATCATAGCCTTCCCGTGACTCCCAGGACTTAAGCTCCCGGTCAGGAGCCTCCCCGATCTTCCTATCTCATTCTTTTTCCAGCCAACAAGCTTCTCCCACTGCCATGCCAACGTCACTCTTTGAAGCCCAGGGAGGCACGTCTGCAAGGACGAGGTCTTGGCCAAGGACCCTCCTTCCCTCTGCTGTAGAAGTCATAATTTACCATCAGCCCAGCCTTCCCACCTGAGACCTCCTCCTTGGAGTGGTGTTGGGGCGGGAGGACCATGGTGGACATACACCAGTCCTCCATCATCCCAACTAGAATGCACGACTGGTTAGTTCTACACAACCTCCGTTCGCTTAGCAAGCCCCTTCCCTCTGCTGCTAACGGGTTCCACATCTTGCTCTCATAGCCCGCAGCTTTCCTGATTCAGCTCTTTTAAAAAGCAGCCTTACAGGTGGAGATCTCTTTTCCCAACTGCCACATGGCACCGTCCTCAGCACCTCAAACCAAACACTTCCAGGATGGCCCCAGTCCTTTCTGCTTTCACTGCGGGAGGCTCCGCCCATCCACCTGGCAGACTGGAGCCTCAGGTGCCTTCTGCACGCTCTCTCCTCCTCACTCTTACAGCCCATTCTGCCCAGCAAGCCCTTTCCATCCTCCCACCGCCTTTCCTCCCGCACTTCTGTTTCCCAGTCAGCGATGTAATGTGAATCCTGCAGGTAGAAGGGCGTTATAATTCAGTAATCAAATTATATGGAGCCCTGGCTGGTTCGGTTCAGTGGATAGAGCTTCAGCCTATGGACTGAAGGGTTCTGGGTTTGATTCCAGACGGGTCCCTTCCCTTTTTCCAGCCAGTTATCTCGAAGGACTT